CGACTCCCCCTCAGTCTAACGGATGTTGAGGAGCTGGGTTGCCGGATGCCGCTGGCGCTGGGCTCCAATGAAATGGCTAAGAAAGGAGTCACTGAGGTGCTGGAAAGTGGAGACAGAGTTTGCTAGTAGTTGACTAAACCAGAGTCGAGCCGACCCCTTGAGTGTCACGGGGAAAGCCCGACACATGATTTCATCGGGGAATGCATGGAGGATCATGAGGGTTCTGTAGGTCTCCAAGTGATCGACTAGGTCCGTTGTACCGTCAAAAGTGTCGATCGTAGGCATTTTGAACTTAGGAGGTAGAGGTTTGTCCTTGATAGAGGCAGCAAATGGGGAGTTGGCTGTGGTAGATGGTTTATGCTGTAAGTTCTGCATGACCCTTTGGAGTTGGAGCTTCATGGCTCGGAGTTCTGTGTCCCAGAGAGGAATGTTGTCACCACCGGAAGGCAGCGGGGCCTGCACGCTGCTGGCCTCTCCTTCAGGGGTTGGTGCCGGGATCGATGGATGTTGGCCCCGGGGTGGCAGGTTTATACTTGGGAGAGGGGGTTGCAAGCCTTCCAAGTTGGGTGGATTAAGCTGCTGCATAGTATGGCTCGGGGCTCGTTCTTGGTTGGGTGGGATATGTGGAGGTGGTGGAGGAGGCATAGGAAGGTTTCTTTGGAGTAGAGCATTAATCAGGGCTTGGTTTTGCTCGGCCAGGCAGTTAATGCTGTTGGTGAGCTCGGTGAAATACTGTGGTGGGTTATTTGGTTGGGAGGGTCAGCTTGATGATCGGGAACATTGGGGTGAGAAGCCATGGATCTAGTTGTGACCATCCACCTTCATAGGTGATAAGAAGGGGTTATCGGGAGAGGGTCTCCGGCGACAATGAGCACAACTGGCGCGCGGAAAAAAAACTTTCCCACAGACGGCGCCAGCTGATGATACTGCGGGTTCCTGATGGAACAGATCGGACTGATCCACACTTCCCAAACCGGTGTCCGAGTGACCAAGCCCACAGGGGAACCTACACAAGAGTTCAATGGGGAACAGGGAGTCCCCCAGCGAACCCTCCGACGAGCCAGTTAGAAAGAGAGGTGGTATGTAGAGATAGATTAGAGATAGAAAGCTTAACCTTCTTCTTTTCTTCGACGTTTGCTTATATCATCTGGTAATCATTTCGTTGTCCCTTCCGACCTGTCACCTTGGCCGAAAGTCTACGCTCTAACTTACCTTGTTCATGGTGAAGGCGTCCCGTACCAACGGAGAGGGGTTATCGCAATAAATGCTGTAAGGGGCTTCATTAATGGCGATGTGCAGTGACAATAACTTTGCAGATCTTTGTCTGCTTATGTGGCTTGCCCTTCTCTTGCCATGTGTCTCGATGTTATTGGTTCTTATTGCTACGTGGGGCTTTAGCAATGTTGGGCTTTAGTATTTGAGTTATGTATTGGGCCCTAAATGGTGGACTATAATCTTTATGGGTTTACCCATGTCAGAGATGATGATGATGAGTCGAGTCAACTTAATAATTTGAATATTCGGTCTCAAAATATTAGAGTTTTATTTTATTTTTTATTATTTTAAAATAGGATGAATTATACTAGCAGTCCTTATAATTTAGGACTTGTGTCACTTTAATCACTGACTTTTGAATTGTGATATATTTAACCTTTAATTTTGAATATTGTTTCAAATAGAGACAATTAAAGATACTTTATTTGTAAACGGTCTATTTTAAAAGCAAAGTCGTCATATAACTTATTTTATGTTGGTTAACTTATATTTTGTTTGAAATGTAATGACATTTTTTTTAATGGATAATGCGCTACTTTCTTGGTTATAAAGTTCGGTTTAGTTTGGTTTCGTTTGGTTTTCATAATTTTTTTTCAAATTTTTTTTAAGAAATTAAAATTTTATTTGGTAAAAAAAAAAATTTATACACATTATTTTTATATAATTTTATCTTTTGAATGGGTAGAAATAATTTTTTAAAATAACTTTTTTTTGATATTCATTAGTTTTTCTTCTTTCAAAAGTTAAATATGATGACAATTTTGATATCATTATTAAACAAATCCATTAAATCAAAAAATATATAATTAAAAGTATTTCATATAGTAAACATATCGATTATACATTAAAAACCTAATAACCATCCATTACATGATAACCATAACAAAAATATTTGTTAACAACAAAAATAACCATTTATTACGTGATAATCATCCAAAAACATTAACAAAAATAACCACTCATTACATGATTATCATCCAAACACATACTAAAAATTAATTTGGTAAAAATATAAAAAATAAAAATGTAGAAGATTTATTATTTTATATAATTTTATTTTTGGGTGATAGGAACAATTTTTAAAAATTAAAAAATAACCTTATTTTTGTCAAACTAGTTTATATTTTATTAAATTGACAACTTTGCTCTTGAAATGGAGCATTTTCCGTTTAGAAATGAAACAGTGTGTTTAATTGTCTTTATTTTGAACGAGATTCAAAATTTAAGGTCAAATAGATCACAACTGAAATATCGAAGACCAAAATGACACACCATAAATTACAGGGATCGTTAGTGAGACTAAAATAACATGAATTTTTTATTTTGTTCTTCTTCTAAATTCATTAGTAATATTTTTGAAGTACAATAATTGTACTACCAAAGAGTAGTTTTGAAAAGTTAATATTGTTAAAATGTAATAATTGTATAAAAAAAAAAAAATAGATTCCCTAAAAGAGATTAATATTTTTGAACGGAGGGAATGAAAAATAAAAATAAAAAAAGTCGAAGAATTACACAAAAAAAAATTTCTTTCCTCTAAGCTTTTGGCATTTTTTTTTAATAATAAAAAATCAAAAAATATGACAAACATATTAAATTTTTTCACTTTATATTTTAGTTAAAAAATTAAAAAATTACTAAAATAATTTATTCTCAAGCCAACAATGTTATGACTTGGCCAGTGTGTATTTTCATTTTTGTCCTTAGTTAATGGTTTTTTTTTTTTTTTTTTTTTTTTTTTAAGTGCAATGCACATTTGTATTTTCAACCAAACTAATGTAGACTTCAGAGGTAATGTTCAAATTACTCAATTTAAAATAATAAAGGTCAAAATCAATTTCAAATCAAATTTGCGGAATTAAAAATCCTTAGCAAATTTTGAGTTAATTATATTTTTCACTCTTATAGTTTAATTTAAATTTCACTTTAATTCCTATTGTTGTAATTTGAACAATTTTTTTCCTACACTATAAGTCAAATTTCAATTTGGTCATATTGTCAAAATTTTTATTAATTTTGTCTACATCTTATAAAATTTACAAGTGTCCCAAAATTACTATTTAACCTCCAATTTGAACCAAAAAAAAAAAAAAATCAAATTAAAAATACACTGAAAGTGTAGGAATCAAATTAAAAGAAGAGTAATGTTAGGAATAATGAAAAAAAATATCATAAAATGCTTCATGAAGATTCTGTATCCTTATGTTGTGTTTAGTTGGGAGATTTAGGAAGGAATTTAGAAATAAAAAGGGAAAAAGTATATGAAATTAAGTAAAATATAGATATATTTTATTTTTATTTCACCTATATTTTCTTTTTCTCTTTCTAATTTTTTTTTCAAATTTCGTAATCAAACACAACATTAAATTACCTTTATAAAATATTTAATGATATTTTTTTTATAATCCATAACATTACTCAATTGGAATATTGCTAAACCAGCGGTAAAATTCCCAAAGTAGTGGTCACCACCGGCATAGAAAAATCACATCGTGTGAACAGGTCTACCTCTACCTAACTCACAAGTGTATTTAAATATGAGTAAAAAAATGTAAAGTAAAACATTTTTAAATTTATATATTAATGGGTAAATTACAATCACCTCCTTAAAATTCACAACTACACTGGCCTCCCTTCTGTTTTTTTGAAATTACACCGACTTTCCTGCGACTAACAGCATTAATGAGAGGGTTAGTTTAATAATTTTAATATTAGAGATATTTTTGTTGATAACCATTAAATATACAATTATTATTTATTTTATATGATATTTGGTTATGATTCATTTTTTTATTTATTTATAGTAATGATTGAAAAAATCTATTTATAACATTTGTAGTAATCAACACAACAAATGTTATAACTTATATACATTACACATAAAATGGTGTATATTTTAAAATAAACTATTGTTATGACAAAAGTGATGATGAAATAAATTAAAAACTTATAATTACATAAATGTAAGATAAGTTTTTTAGTAGTTTTTAATCTATACTTGACATTATATAGTTCAGTTGTTTTCTAAAAAATAAAAATAAAATTGATGAGGTTCACTATCTAAACTAATAAAAAATAAATTGGGACACTAAATGTATTTATTTGAATAGTATTAAATAATATTTCTAAATAGTCACATGGTTTAACTATAAAAAAATATATATATATATTTTATTGCTTTACATATATACATGTTCATGTATTTCTCATTTGGTTTCAATAATTTATACTATTTGTTTTCCTAAAAAATAATTAATTGATTTCTTTTATTATTAATTTACAGATAATCACTTCAAATGTTATACAAACGAAACTGAAATCTCCCTATGTACTAATCTAACAATTAACAATTAACAATTAACTTTTGTCAAAAAAAAAATAATAAAATAAAAAATAAATAAGAAGAAAAAACCTGTTAGTCAAACTAACGGTAAACTCGCAGATTGAGAAAACCTGCAAATTAAAAGTAAACCTCACAATGTAATTTCAAAATGAAGAGGAGAGCACAGTATAATTGTGGGAAATCTCAAGAATAGAAAAATGCAACTTGTACTTAATTATATATTTATATGGGTGACTTCTACCTCCCTCAGATCATTGCATTCTTAAATATTATCAAGGTTGTTGTAGAGTCTGTCCATAAAGACATTCCACTAGTTTCACACTGAAGGTCTTGTTCACATGTTCTGACTGACAATAGTTTACATCTCTTTGTATATGTTGTCCCTACTAATCTGGAGAAAATATTAAAGATTGACCTAGAACAGCAAGTCAACCAAGAAATGTATGCATATATATGTGTTTGATTAGGGCTGGATCCATGTCACAGCTAAACAATAGAAGAGACAGAAAGAGAGAGAAAAAGAAAGAATGAGCCACAGAGAGGGAGAGGAGGAGAGTGGAGGAGGGAGAGTGGAACAGAAGCTCCAGGAGCTCCATGAGGCGATAGTTGAAGGGAATAATAAATTAGAAGCATTCAAAGAAATATTGAATGAAGATCCAAAGATTCTTGATAGGATTAAGGTGGGTTGTTTCATTCACACTCCTCTGCACGTAGCAGCGTACCACGGGCATTTAGAATTTGTCAAAGAAATTCTAAAGAGAAGTCCGGGGCTTGTTGAAGTGCAGGATTCGCGACGATGGTCTCCTCTTCACGTGGCATCCGCTCGGGGCCATCTTGACATTGTACAGGCACTTGTATCGGAGAATCCGGATATGTGCACAGCTCTTGATGGAGATGCTAGAACCCCTCTACATCTTGCAGCCATGAAAGGTAAGAAGGAGGTGTTGGGCAAGTTGTTTGAAGCCAGCCTCTACGGTCCCCATGAGTTGATGAATGTTAAGGATGTTGCTGGTAACACCATATTGCATCTAGCTGTCAGGAATAAAAAATTGCAGGTATGCCAATTATTAAGTTTGTTTTAGATTGGGTTCAATGCATTTCTTTTTATTAATTTTTTACAGAAAAATGATTTAGAGCACTAAAAGAAGAGCACTAAAAGAGCATTAAATTGTCTTTTTCCTCTTTGTGTTTTGTCTTTTTCCTCTTTTTTTTTTTCTATTTTAATTTTTTTTAGGCATGCCACGTCATTAGAACTGCTTTTAGTGGTCTTATTTTAGTGATCTGTATCATAGTTGTTTTTTACGAGTTACTTTTTAAAAAGAGTCTCACAGTTTTTCCAAATGCCTCTTTAATTTTCCTCTAGGCATTATTGAAGTTAATGATTGGTTAGGGCCGGTCCTGAGTTCGTCGGGGCCTAAGGCGAATTTCAGAAATAGGGCCCCTTTTAATATTGAAAAAAAAAATTATGAATAAAACGATAAGTTACAATTTTTTTATTTGTTTGTAACTATAAAAAAATTTACTTACACATATAATCATTAAAATTATAAATAAAACAATTTAATAAAACAAAATTAGAACAAAAAAATTAGGAAAAAATTATTCAATTAAAATTGATAAAGACGTTGGTAAAAAAATTTGAGCAAAATTATTTATTCTACTAAAATCTAATAGATAAAGAAGGTGAAAATAAAAAATAAAAAATAAAAAAATAGGGCCCATATATTGTATGTATTATTTTTCTTGACCCCAAACATTTTTTTTTAATATATATTTTCATTTTAATAAATATGGACCAAACTACACTTATAAATAAATATGGAGTAAATCATACATGGACCCAAAAAAATATTTTGGGACCCTTTAAATTGATCCTAAAATCCAAAAAAAAAAAACATTGAGCCTATAATATTTTACCAAATTTAGGGATCCTATTTTTGGGCCAAATTTAGGGGCCCTATGTTATATATGTTTATATGTTTTATCAAATTTAAGGGCCCTATTGTTTTTTATTTATTTATTTATATATTTTCATTTTAATAAATATGGGCCAAACACATTTATAAATAAATATGGGCTAAATTATACATGGGTCCAATAAACATTTGGGGCCCTTTAAATTGATCTAAAAAAAAAAAATGTTGAACCTATAACAATTTTTTAAATTTGGTGGTCTTATTTTTGAGCCAAAATATGAGGCCTAAGGCACAAGCCTTACATGCCTTAGGGCAGGGCCGGCCCCGTGATTGGTGAATATATCATCGATGTTTCTGCGGTGCTAAATAGTATTTCTACCATAATCAAAATTTGAAATTTCCATAGTGCTAAATAGTAATGAGATTATTAGTAATAATTTTTGTGTTAATGTTACTTGGGTGTTTATCCTACAAAAAATTAAGGTTTTACAAATCAAAATTTAGGAACAAAATTATTTTTTAAGGATAAAATATTTTTGTTGTGAAAAGTGTTTTCATTATATTTTTAGTAACAAAAATTGGACATTACTGATTAACTATTATCTTTTTGTGACCAAATTTTTTGTTTCAAAAAATAAACTATTTTGAGACCAAATTATTTTGTTCCTAAAAGTTTATTTATTGTTGACATTTTTAAAATTTTGTCACTAAAAGTTTTGTTTTTTACTTTTCGGGAAATTTTTTTAGCGATTATCCTCACGACGAAAAAAATTGGTCCTTAAATGTCTTTTGCAACAAAATTTTCACTTTTGGAGACCAAAAAATTTGGTTTCTAAAACTTTTATATATTGTAGTGTTGGTTTAGTTATCCTTAATGGAAAAATAATGAAATTGGAAATATTTTGAACCTAATTATTTATTTATTTTTAATTTTTAAAATTTTAACATTCTTCGAAGAATGTGAGATTCTCATTGTAGAGTGAGGAAATTAGATTCTTGCTAAATTTAGGAATGTGAATAGATAATCAGAAATCACTTTATCATTTCAATATGTTCCAAACACTAAAATCATGTTAATTCAGCGTTACATTCTCAATCTCCCGTAAAATTACTATCATTCAAACATGACTTAAAAGGTTTTTTTTTTTAAGTTGGGAGCCACGACTTCCTTGGCTAGGCTTTGTATGGAGCTCTATTCAATCATTTACCCAAAAGATTAATTCTATATATATATATATATACAGCAATGCTAGGTATCATGAAAAATCTTTCATGAAAATAATCATGAAAGCTTTGTGACCTTTGGATTACACTTAGAATAAAGTACAACACACTAATCAAGGTAATCCAATGATCATAACTCTTTCATGATCATTTTTATGAAAAAAATTTCATGATCCCTAACTTTTCTCATATATATATATATATATATGGGAAATTGCTAGCTAATTGCTTCCAATCTAATGTTGACATTGGAATATAAATACTGCAGGTTGTGAAATATTTGCTTGACAAAATAGAAAAAGCAGAAAAGACAGAAAGCAGAATAAATGCAGTAAATGCAGTAAACAACTGTGGGTACACAGCATATGACATTGTAATGGAAAGTAAAAATGACACGCAGGAATTGAAAGACATTAAAGTCACCTTTCGAAAAGTGAAAGCAATGAAAGCAAAAGATCTTTCTCAAGGTGAATGGTTGTCAAAAAAACGAGACATATTAATGGTTGTGGCGTCACTTATCGCGACAATGGCTTTCCAAGCTGGGATCAATCCTCCAGGAGGTTTCTGGCAAGACAATACTCCTCCACATAGAGCAGGGGAAGCTATAATGGCTTATAACTATCCAAATACATATCCGTATTTCATTCGTGCTAACACGACAGGATTCGTTGCATCTGTGAGTACAATCTTACTGCTCATAACTGGGTGGCCGTTCAAGAAAAAGTTTTTCATGTGGCTTCTGGTCGTGATCATGTGGGTGACAATTACATCAATTGCTTTTACTTATGCATTTTCGATCGTAGTTGTCTCTCCAAAAGGGGAAAGGGAACCACTTTTTCATACAATTGTAGTTGGAGCCATAGTGTGGTGCTGTGTGATGGTGAGCCTCCTCATAGCTCACACAATTCGCGTCATAAATTGGTGGTTGAAGACCAACAAAGGAATAAATGTTTGGCCACAGATTAAAGAGTTCTTCAAATCCAACACAAGTGGACAAGGTACAAATTCAAGTAATGGTGATGCTCATCAAATTGAGCTAAGTGGACAAGGCCTACAACAATCAAGTAATGGTGAAGTTCTTCAAATTCAACTCAAGTAGACAAGGCATGCAACAACAAAGAGGAGATATAAATTCATTTAATGGTAACCATTCTACCGTCTGAGCTTTATGTTTAATGTGTGAGTTTCTATTTTTAGAAAGAGAAATGTTTGAGAGCTCTAGGGAGATAGCTGTAATAGCTCTAATTTGTGTGTGAATCCTATTTGATGTGATGCATTGGCTTTGTTTTGTTTTGTTTTGTTTTTTTTTTTTTTTTTTTTTTTTTGGGGGGGGGTTTGATTTTTTACATCACTAGAGTTTAATTAGAGTTCTGGTTTTAGGGGAATGAATCACTGTTGTTTTAGAAATTTACAATGTAGACCCTTTAAAATGGTCCACGTCTGTAAAAAGTTGTGTTTTTCTATGATGAATGTTATGATTGTTTGTGATGTGTCTTATGACATTTTGTAGTAAAGTTATGAATGAATAATGAATTTATGGTGTGCACCCAAAAATTAAGAATGATAATGTTGTGACACTTTGTGATTTTTGTTATGACACTACAGAGTTTTGTTATGATATTTTTCAATGACAATATTTTTTTTAAAAATATATTATATGTACCTTATTGAGAGTGCACATTATAACATCTCCCATAAATCACTATCGAATACAAAGAATTGAATATAGACCAAAGAAAGAAAGAAATAGAGCATATGGCGATGAAAAAATTAACTGAAAAAATAATTATGAGAGTTTATCTTTTTAAATATTAAATTATGCAACAAATATGAGGATAGTGTGAGATATTTTGGAATAACATGAAAGATGGGTGTTTTGGGAAGGGGCTTTTTTTTGTTTTGTTTTATTTTGTTTTGTTTTTAGCGAATTTTTTTTTTTAATTTTTCAAAAAGTTTTAAGTTTCTAAATTCAACTTGATAAGGCAAACAGGAAAATTATAATTTTTTTTAAAAAAATTTAAAAATAATCTAGAAAAGATAAAAATAAGCCAAAATTAATAATTATTTTTGGCTTATTTTGGTCTTTAATGATTTTTTTTTTTTTGCAAATTTTCAATTAAAAAAAAAAGGAAAAAGAGTACTTTTTAGATTCGTCTTGACAAGACAGATCAAAAAAGTAAAAAATTTTGACATAATTTTGAAAAAAAGGCACTGAGGACAAAAATAATTCAAAAAAAGAGGTGGCTTTTTTTCTTTTTCTTTTTTTTTCCTGCCAAAATGATATTTAGACTAACATTAAACATGCCCATAAAATTATAGGAATTAGAACCACACATCACATTAAACTTTTTATTTATTTATTTATTTTTATGGGAATCACATTACACTTTATACCTTAAAAGATGGATATAAAATATTCACTCATCACATATAGATGACATAAATAAATAAAAAATCATTAAAATAAAATCAAATATAAAATGAATTTTAAATAAAAAAAAGTAAAAAAAAGTGTCCCATGAAAGGATATTGTAAGCAGAGGGGCAGTCGACAACAAGGAAGGTGAGTAACTTTGTGGTCTGCCACGGGTATTCGCCGATTGTAATGTGAAGATCGATAGAGCCGATGGAGGTCACTCGGTCTCCAGTGAAACCGACCAACGGGGTTTGGAGAGGAGACAGACTTTCTTCCCCGATCTTGAGCTGGCAGAACGCATTTAGAAGGATGATGTCTGAAGAACTGCCATTGTTGACGAAGACCCGTCTGACTTTGTAATTGGAGAGAAGGGCA